ATGTTTCTTGTTAGGGTTTCCCCGGGAAACAAACACAATACACACAAATGCGTCACAGATTATTTCGTATTTGAAATCATGTACGCAGCTCGCGACGTAACTAGGAGTCTAGTGGACGGTATCAGTACTACAAGCAAAAAAAAAAAATTAAATAATTAATTACGTTATTTATAAATTATTCTGAGGGCCGCAAAAAGAGGAGGTGGGGGCAGCATGCGGCCCGCGGGCCGCCATTTGCCCATCCCTGGTATAGAGATAGGCATATGACTGTCATGTTTATTGCTTACGCAGGCCGTAGCTAATCTGAACTAAGCAGAGAATGCTAATAATTAGCCTGCATGGTTTTTCATACCACTGCCACGCTGACGACACCCAATTAATTCTGTCCTTTCCCCGCTCAGAGACCCAGGTCGTCGCACGCATCTCTGCTTGTCTAGCGGACATCTCTCAGTGGATGTCTGCTCACCACCTCAAGCTCAACCTTGACAAGACTGAACTGCTTTTCCATCGGCACCTCTGTTGTTTCCCCGACTCAGACTGCAAGGAATCTGGGTGTGACCCAAGATAACAAACTGTCCTTCACTGCAAACATCGCTGCTACAACCCGCTGCTGCAGATACACGCTTTACAACATCAGGAGGATAGGTCCCCAACGACCCAGAAACCTCACCGCAGGTTTTCGGCCAGGCTCTTGTCATCTCACGCCTAGGACTAGTGCAACTCCCTCCTGGCTGGGTCTAACCTGCCATGTGCCATCCGACCCTGCAGCACTCATCCCAGAATGCAGCGGCTCGTCTGGTCTTCAACCTTCCTAATTTTCCCACACCACGCCTCTCCTCTGCTCCCTCACTGGCTTCCGGTAACTGGATAGAAATCCAACTTACGACAGGTAGTTGCGTACCATGTTGTGAATGGATTTGGCCCTTCCTGACAGGGGTTAAACCATACACCCCCAGCATGGCACTCCGCCTCTGCATCTGCCAACACTTCTGCACACGCAAGCTGCG